TAAGTCAGGATGATGTGGTAGCTGTAGGTACAGCCTTCCTGTCTGTCACCCACTCCCAGCTCTGTCATTTACTCACTGTGTGCCCTTAGGGAAGCCATTAAGCACTCTGTGCCTCGGTTTAGCCTTCTGTAGAACAAGGCTTGCACTGCCTGTCTTCTGGGCTTGCCGTGAGTTAGTACACAACAAGTGTTCACACCAGGGCCCTGCACCTAATCAGGACAACCTAAGTGTCATACAAGCTACTCATTGCCATCTCCAGTCATCCACTCTAACCTCAGGTCCCACGGACAGCACCGGAATGTGTAACGATCTCACTGAGCAGAACCGAATCAATGTCTCTGCAAGAGTGGTTTTACAGCCTCATTTCATGGGTGAAGGAACTGAAGGGTGACTCTGAGTCTCAGCCTCATGTCCTGTCTAAACAGAGCTCTTTGTCATGCTTCTGAGGCTCTTATCAGTCTCTGTGGAGAGGGAAAGAGGAGGCAGGGCTGTCAGAAAAGCCTGGCTCCTGTCCCTTCCTTCTACTAGCACCTGGAGCAAAGTGGTCTTTGGCAATTGTAAATAGAACTCTAGGATGACAATGCTGAGAGCCAAAGCTGGGATCCCCAACCACACACGCCCTTCCCGAGCTCAGCAATCTCAAGCCCTAGTTCCTGGGTGGCACTTCTGCCCTCTCTCCTCTGTCCTGTTTCCCCTCCACAGCCCAAGGTTCAGGCCTTTCACTGAGTAAAAGCCAGTTTTCCTAACCCAAGATCAAAGTGTTGGCCAGGCTAAATCCCTCTGCAGGCTCACTGGAAAACTGTCCCTTGCCTCTGGCTGTTCCTGGACCTGAGACTGCACAACTCCGGTTTCTGCCTGTCTACCTCACCTGTGTGCCACAGCAACGCGGAATAAAACTGCGAGCCAAAGCAAAACTTTGTTTGTAAGTTGATCGTCTCAAGCCTTTTGTCACGACATTGAAAAAGCAGCACAGACTTTTAATAATCAACTGGATGATATGGCTCTGTATTAATTTCTCTCTACTTTTTTGCTGATTAATAATCATGACGATGCTTTTGTTGTATTATTTCCTATAAAGAGCCTGGGGAAATAATTCTGTCCTACAAGGGTAACTTTTTATGTGTGGATAATTTAACACTTTCACGTTGCAAAGCTTGATGACATGGAAATCCCAAGGATTGTTGTAAATTCAGGGAAATTGCTAAGCTTTTTTCATATTGGAACTCTTAAGTCTCACTGTATGGTGACTAATCTAAATATTCTCTGAGCTGACAGCACATTAACCAGCTTATTGTTGATGTCCCCATTGTGGTGGTATATTATGAGCTGTCTATTTCTTCATCCATGCCAGCATTTCATGTCAAGAAACATAAAAGCTTAAATCTTTCTTGGTACATTTATGATTCACCCCTTTTTTTGAGACAGTCTCACTATGCGGTCCTCATTGACACAAACTCACTGTGTAGGTCAGACTGACCCCATACTAACAAAGACCCACTTCCCTCCGCCCCCTGGGTGATGGGATCATACTCAATCCATTTTATTTAATTAATTAATTTATTTTCTTTTTGAGATGGGGGTCTCTCTATGTAGCCCTGGAAGTCCTGAACTCTCTATGTAGCTCAGTCTGGCCTTGAACTCACAAATGCCTGCCTGCCTCTTCTCCCAAGTGTTGGGATGCTGCTCCACCATGCCAGGCCTTTCTTTGAATTAATTAGATTATTAAATGAGCAATGATGTGATCATCATTTTTGATCTGGAAGGTATCTACTTCTCTTAATGAATTACTAGTTCGCTGTGTTCTGCAGGACATCTCTGTAGGCATCGGATATTGCCATGGCAGATACTCCACAGAAGATGTGACCTGCTACAATGAGATCATACAACAAACACTCATACTGGCTGCTTATAGCATTGCTACACGCCTGTGCTCAAAAAAAAAAAAAAAACACAAGTCTGTGCATTTGGGGCTTTGTTGTTTTAATTGGAAAAGAGGAAAAACATATACTGCACCAGTGACTGTATAGGGTGCATTACAAAACGGTTTCTGTTGTGTGTGTACATGCACATTTTATATGCATGGTCCTGCATGTGACTATGGGCATGTTCCTACCATGACAAGTGTTTGAAGACCAAAGGACAGTTCCAGAAGTGAGTCCTCACCTTCCACCTTTTATGGGACAGGGTTTTTCATGATAGCTGGTCTGAGAGCTTTGGGTAAATTTACCTGTCTCCACCTTCGACTTTCGTGTAGGAGCACTGGAGTTACAGACATTGAACTCTTAACTCTATGTGTTCCGTTTTTACATGGGTTCTGGGGATTCGAACTCAGATCCTTATACTTCAAGGCAAGTACTTTTACATACTGAGCCCTGGGTTTCTGCTTTAACTGACCTGTGTGAGAGCCAAATCTTCTGCTTAAGTTATTGTGTCTGATGATGAGAAGCCTTTTCCATGGACTAGCTTCCAACCGTAGTGCTATTTTGTTTATGATTTAACAAATAAAGCTTACCTGAAAATCAGAGTGCAGAGCTAAGCCACTAGAGGCCAGGCAGTGGTGGCACACACCTTTAATATCAGGACTTGGGGGACAGACGGATCTCCTTTAGTTCAAGGCCACACGGGGCCACACAAAATTGATCCTGTCAAAAAGAGAAACAGAGCTTACACACCTTTAATCCCAGCACTAGGGAAGTGGAGACAGGACTGACATGGTTAGGTGGAGAGAGGAATATGAGGTGGGAGGAGACAGGAGCTCAATGCAGTCTGAGGCAGTCAGTCTGAGCTTGCAGTCTGAGGACAGGACCGCCCCTTTGGTCTGAGCACTGGTAGAGGTAAGAACTCTAGTGGCTGCCACTCTGCTTCTCTGGTCCTTCAGCTTTCCCCTCCTGATAGCTGACTCTGAGTTTTATTATTAAGACTAATGAGAACTGATGCAACATCCAACCTTGTTTCCTGCCCTGTGTACACATTCCTGATGTATTATCACAGTTTTTGTTTCACCAACATCGTGTGACAGGGAGTTGGAGTGGAAAAGACATTGATCTTAATGGATTACACTTACATATGATTCCCACAAAGCTTGCCGAAACACCTGACCATGATGGTGGAGACAGCATCAATGATGTCCCCCAGCTATTTGCTTGAGTGATGGCTCTAACATCAACCCCAAGGTAGGAAATAAGAGCCACACTTGAATGTGAACCCTGTTTGCACCGTTCCTAATGACGTGACCTTAGACGAGTTGTGTTTCGTCTCTTACAGACTTCCTTATTTCACAAAAAGGAAAACTCGTAACGTCTGTGTGGTTGTTTATAAACGAGGCAGCCTGCTCCTCCAGGAAGGAGCCTAGGCTGTATTTATAACCTAATACTGGATATCACTGTTTCAAGATATATTATTGATACTTATTATGAAGCTCAAGAGATTTAAATTAGCCTTAGATCATTATGTTCTGACATGATTTTCCTCAGATTCAAGCAACTGGCTTTAGCTATTAAAAGTTATAATTCAGGCTGAAAAATGTTTACTGCCATCAAAATTGGGGAGAGAGTGAGTCAATGTGAATGACCCTTTAGACTATAATAGTAATAATCGCCAGTGTGCATGAAGCACTTATGACTGTGGATCCTTTACATACACCATCCCAATTTTGTTTTGAAATATTGTTTGGTGTAGGTACTTTTCCATTTTACAGATGAGAAAAACTGAGAATCAAAAGGATGATGTCACTTTCTGCAGGGACCTCGAGTGTGACAGGAGTGTCAAGTTGACTGTGCTGACTCCATTTTGTTACCTCAGATGGCCTTGGTCTTGCCGAGTAGAGTGCCAATAACTAACTGTAAGAGACATCTTAAGAAAAACAATTCCGGGAAGAAAAACAAAGCAAAGATGTGACCTCACTATTTTTGCTAATCACATTTTTTAGTTTTTGAAATTGCTTGCAGGTGCAGGAAGGGAACCTTAAGGGCTTTCCAGCTAGAATGTGGTTTCCTTGCTTAAATATGGACCCCGGAAAGGATCGGGGTTGCCCTTGGGTCCCGAATACCGAGGTGCGGCCACTACCAGGCTGGAATAAATATTTTGAATTGGCTCATAGATCGTGTTTGAGTGGTCTTCTCTAGAGAGAACCCTGCAGCATGAGCTTGTGAGTGGAAGCAATGAGCCCACAGCCTAAGGAAGTTCAGAGAGATCTTACCTTTCTCAGTAAGGCCAAGGGCCCCAAACCTGTCTCTGCTCGCTCTATCTACCCTTGGACTTTTGAGAGATCTGGTTAGTTTTTGATCTGGTTAGTTTTTGTTTGTTTGTTGTTTTTTGAGACAGAGTATCTGCATGTAGTCCTGGTTGTACTGGAGCTAATGCAGATCAGGCTGGCCACAAACTCACAGATCCTGGGCAGGTGGGCTAGGTCGGATGCCCACTACTGACGCCTCCGCTCAGCCTTCCAGCCACCCTGTAGACCTGAGTCTCTTAGCATTTCTTGACCTACCCCTGCAGTCTCCACCTCTCTTACTCCAGCATCCGTTTTCTCACGCCTCGCCTCCTCACACCACTACCCCTCCACACCGCGCCCTCTCAAGCCCCACCCCCTCCAGCCTTTCCCCACACGCCCCGCCCCCCGCCTTTCCCCCTCACGCCCTACACCTACGTCCCTCACGTCCGGCCCTCTCTGAACCGCGCCCCCACGCCCCGCCCCCTAAACCCAGCCCTCCTCACGCCCCGCCCCCTAAACCCAGCCCCCTCACTCCCCGCCCCCTCCAGCCTTTTTCCTCTCATGCCCCGCCCCTCCCACCTCCTACGGTCACAAGCCTCACTCAGCTCCGCCCCCTCGCGCCTCAAGGAGCCTCAACCTCTCAGGCTCCATCTCGCATCACTTTACGCCACGCCCATCCACATCACGCTCCTCAAGCCTTGCCCCGCCCCCGTTCCTGTCCCGCCCACCTCCCCTTGCACTGTTCAGTACTCATCCCCGCCCTCCCTCCACGCCCCCGCCCCGCCCTTCACGCCCCCTCCCTCTCACGTGCTGAGCCCCTCGTAGCCTTCGTCCACCCGGCAGCCGCCAGCCGCCAGCAGCAGGAGATCGGCGCCTGGGATCCTCCGCGTGTCGTGTGGGGCTTTGCCGCCCTCGGACACCGCACTGACAGTAGGGCTGGGCCTGTGATGCGGGGCAGGCTGGGGGCGGTGGGCGAGTTGGGTGATGGCGGGGATGCGCCAGCCTGGCAACTCAGCGTTCTCTTCAGCACCGAGCCCTGAGGCCCGCCTGAGGAGCGACCTGGTCCTGCCGCTTCACGCGCGCGCCCGGAGCCTGTGACGGCCGGGACCTCTCAGCGGTCCCAGCTCCCCCGGCAGCGGCTTGGCCCTCAGTCTCTCCAGCCCTGACCGCTGCCCTCAACCCCGTGCCCTCCCGCGGGGCCTCGCCCTCCGCTTGACCTCGCGCTCTCCACCACCCCTCCGTCCCTTGTCCTCCTCCTGGCCTCAGGCCCTTACCCACCGGGATTGCTAGCAAGGCCCCTAGACACCTGCCCCGGCCACACCTCCTGGCCTTCCCTTCCCTCTCTTCCCTTCGCAGGGTGGGTTTCCAGGAATGGTCCCCTGCTCCCCCTTCCTGGAGTGAGGAAGTAATCTGTGAAGAACGGAGGGGTATTGGAGGAGCACGCGCTGGTGGGATGGGGTGGGGTGGGGAGACATGCTCAGGAAAGCAGGGTCTCCGGAATGTAAAATCCCAGCGTTTGGCTCTTTTTCTTACTATTTTAATCTATTGCTGGGGGGAAAACATTTTAATTGTCTCGCGCTCGAGAGCATTTTTTTATTATTTTTGTATGTATGTATGAATGTATGTATGTATGTATGTATATCAGGTTCAAGACAAAGTTTCTCTGTTTCGCCTCAGCTGTCCTGAAACTTGCTTTGTAAACCAGGCTGGGAGCATTTTTGTTTAAAAAAAATCATCAACTCAGGTTTGGAATTAATTCCAAGACAAAGGCAATAGAGCCATGGCAGGGCAGAAGCCATAACCATATCGAAGTGTCTCCGTAGGGATTGTGTGTGGTTTAGTACATAGTGTAACCTTTAGTTTGATTCTTGCGGTGGAAATGGGCATTGATCAAAGCTGACCTAAGATATTAATTCTGTGGCTGACATTATGTTTGCCTTCATCTTGGCTCAGTGTTCGCTTTTACCAAAACTTCGGGTAGGAAAAAAAAACTTGTATGGTGGCAGTTTCAGATGACATATGAAAGCAGATGTCTAAGTGATATGACATCTCTCCTCATTTTTTACTGTGAAATAGAGCCTTGTGCTGTCTTTAGTAGTGCAGGCGGGAGAAATATCTGTTTGTTTCCTGTCTTTTTGTTAAGCAAAAATTATATTAACCTTATTTCAAAATACTAAAATTCAGTGGGGGTTTCTTTTCTGACTTCTGATTCATTTTCCGTAGTTTCTTTTTTTAAATTTTTTATAGCCCTTTGGAATTCTGTTGTTTTAGCTTCCACATTATTGTATTTAAAGCCCGGCATGGGGTACGTATGTGTAATTCTAGCGCTTGGAAGAAACAGCAAGTTCAGGAGTTCCAAATTACCTTTGTCTATTAGCAAAGCCCTTTTTCAAATAATAATAAAGGTTAATAATATTTAGCATCCTAAAGAGAAAAATGAGGTTACATACCTAGATAAAAATTAGTGACCCAACATCAAACTTTTAATTGTTAGAAATAAGATGACCTGTTTCTTACTTTTGTTCACTACTTTCTTTTCTTTCTTTTCTGTTTTTCCTTTTTCCCTCCAGAAACCTTCATGTACCTGTTTTGTTATATTACTAAGAAGAAAAATTAAATTCTATGAAGAATAGGAGAAAAATTGAGACCATCGATTAGAATACATTTAAACTGGGTGTGATTCACAAGTTTCTAGACAAGTTTTTAGCCTTAGTTTTAATCATATTCTAAATGAGATTTTCTTTTTTTTTCCTCCTTTCTTTCTTTCTTTTTTTGTTGTTGTTTTTGTTTTTTCATGACAGGGTTTCTTTATGTAGCCTTGGCTATTCTTGAAACAAATTTTTAAATCAGGCTGGCCTCAAACTCACAGAGATCTGCCTCTGGCTCCTGAGTGCTGAAATAAAAGGTATGCACCACCATTACCTGGCTGAATGAGAAAATTTTGTTTTGTTTTGTTTTTCGAGACAAGGTTTCTCTGTGGTTTTGGAGCTTGTTCTGGAATTCCCTCTGTAGACCAGGCTTGCCTTGAATTTACAGAAATCTGCCTGTCTCTGCCTCCTGAATGCTGGGATTAAAGGTGTGTGCCACCACCGCCTGGTTTTTAATTTTTTTAAATAGTGATATTTCTTTTTATTACACTTATTTATTTGCTTGATTTATTTTTTTGAATATGAATACTTAGCTTGCATGTATGTATGTGTACTATATGTATTCTTGGTGCCTACAGAGGTTACCATTAAAGTTAGAAGAAGGCACTGAATTTGAACCTAGATCCTCTGCAGGAACAGCCAGTGCTTTTAATCATCTCTCCATCTCTCTATCTCTTTAATAAGAAAATTAATAACATTGGATTAGGAGATAATTTGAGTATTGTTTTGTAGAATTAATAATAAGTTTTTGCTCACAGTAAAAGAATACCAAAAAAGCTTTCTCAACAGATTTAAGACATTTGTTTTTTGTTCTTTCTAGTTTGTTGAATATAATTAAGGAATATAGGCAACATGTTTTACACTCATGTGCTTATGAGTAAACGAGGGCCATTGGCCAAAATATGGCTTGCAGCTCACTGGGAGAAGAAACTCACAAAGGCGCATGTGTTTGAGTGTAATCTGGAGATAACCATTCAAAAAATTCTCTCCCCCAAGGTATGTAACTGATTAACATTCGTATTAGCCATGGCTTCTGCAGAAGAATTAAAATACTTTCCGAGACAGTTTTGCTTTTCAAATTATCTCTTTCAATTCTCCCCCAGATTATTGTCTGCACAAAGACACTCTAATAACTAATACAGCATTTAAGTGAAGCATGGCTTTGCTGAATAAGCAAAAACTAAAGTCAATCATTCTATATGGTGAGGTTAAAAGGTGGTTTACTTAAGTAAGAATATAACATTTGTTTTTCAAAGAGAAGTTATGATTTCATTAACTTTCAAATAACAACATTTACAAACCTAATATTTATTATTCTAACATTTTAAAAAAATTATTCAAAGGTGAAAATTGCACTCCGAACTTCAGGGCACCTTCTTTTGGGAGTTGTTCGAATCTATAATAGGAAGGCAAAATATCTTTTGGCAGATTGCAGTGAAGCATTTCTTAAGATGAAGATGACATTTCGCCCAGGTACATATACAACGTTAATTTGTGTCACTGTTGACTTCTCTTGGCATTTTTGTGTTGGGTAGTCTCTTTTTATTAGTAGCATGCTGTATACAATGAACATAAACTTCATTTTGACTGAATCTTAAGTTTCCATAAAGCTAATTTTCCAAAACTTGTTATGTTTTATTATTAATATAAGAAATACACTTAAAATCATCATGATTGTGTAAGAAATCAATACACTTATTTTTACTAGGTCATTTAATTTGCCATACCTGTTTTTGCCTTTATGAGAGTAAAATTATATATTGACAAAATATAAATACTGATAATTATAATTGTTTTTAGAATTCTTGAAACTCCTAAATTATTGGCAGTTATGAAGTAGTATCAAAATTCCTAGACATTCTGCAATACTATATTTATATATGTTATAAGTACAATTCCTAACATTTTTTAATTTACATAAAATCTGTTCTGCTTTTAAGATATACATCATTTTCATTTTCTTTTCTGTTTCCCCCCTTTTGTTTTTGTTTTTGTTTTTTTTCAAAACAACACGGCTTCTCTGTGTAGCTTTGGAGCCTGTCCTAGAACTCACTCTGTAGACCAGGCTGGTCTTGAACTCACAGAGATCCGCCTGCCTCTGCCTCCTGAGTGCTGGCATTAAAGGTGTGTGCCACCACCACCCAGCTCCAAAGAAACTATCTTTATTATATATATTTTCCTAACTTTTACAGTATCTACGTTCGTTCCTTTCTTATGCCATCCCTCCATCAACATTTGTAGATTCTGACTGAAAGCTCTTTTTTTTAATCTTTCTCATTTAAAATAGTTTTAGAGTCTTTGAATATATTGATATGCATATCTACTTTATTTTACCTGCTCATTTATTATTTATGTATCCTGCAAATATTTATTGATTCATGTTCATGCTTTGTGATTAACATGATGTTAAGCTTTAGAAAATACAAGGACAAGCAAGATAAATAGTTCCTTTTCAGTCTGATGAGGAACTCAGATAATGAAAATGTTTTAAAAACATTATAATAATTACAGATTGTGGTCATGCTGGGATTAAAGGCATGTGTTACTGCACCTATTAGTGTTCATGTTACAAAGGAAACTAAACTAAGATCTACAACAGAAAATAACAGAGAAGTTCATTTTATAGGTTAATTAGGGAAAAACCTTTGTTAGGGGATAGAAGTTAAACTCACACTTGAAAAATGAGACATACTCGGTACATAAGTAGTGACCGAAGGAATGGTTGTACAGGCAAATGGAACTACAAGTATAATGTCTTGAGGTGAAAAAAATGCTTGCCTTTTTCAGGGAACAAAAAGACTAGTATATCTGTGGAGTATAGTGGTGGAGGAGAATTCTATAGATGATGTATGATAAGAGTGTAGGGCTATGGAAGCTCCAGTCAGAAATTTGAATTTTATTGTAGTGAGGAAGGTGCTTTATTCATGCTTAGGTCTCTAAGCATGAGAACTATCTGATTTGATTGCTTCTGGAAACTGTTATTCTGTCTGCTTCATAAAAAATGTACTGCTGAGGGGCTATAGAGAAGCCCATGAGAGATGATAAAGATTTAATTGAAAGTTTAATGTTTCATAAAGGATCACTGCTTATTGTGTCTCTTTTTCATTATTTTTAGGACTGGTTGATCTCCCAAAAGAGAATTTTGAAGCAGCTTACAACACTATCACATTACCGGAAGAATTTCATGATTTTGACATCTATAATATAAAGTAAATCATTTTGTTTTCTTGTTTTCACATTCAGATCTAATGGCTGAAACTTCAACTAGATAACAATTGAACAAGTACAGTTGACAAAAGCTTAAATTGTGTAAAATTTGAAAATACAAAACAAAAATGTCTAATATTTATTGAATGTTAGTATTGACAGTATATTCATCTAATAAATATGTATTAAATAAATGTCTTACCTATGCCAGACATGGTTCTAGGCATTGAAAAGATAGCAATGAATAAAACAGTTTCTAGCCTAATGGATCTTATATTTTAGTTAGTATAGATTGATGATAAATAAAAATGCAATGTGAAGATAAATAAATATTAAAACAAGCAATAGGATTATCAGGAAAAGATTTTCTGATCAAGTAAGAACACAAGCCTAAAGGAGCTAAGGAGACAAACCTACAGTAACATATAAGAATGTTCCAGTGGAAATACCCAGAGAAGTAAAAAAAAAAAATCTCTGTGGAAATGGCAAAATAAGGCAGATAAAATACAAGTGGAAAGGCTGTAAGACAGAGTGCAGCGGATATGCTCAGGAACAGCAAGAAAGCAAGCAAGATGAAGTAAGATGAAAGGACTGGGTAGTAAAGAAATGAGGTCAGAGAAGGAGCAGAAGATGCAGGTGACAGGATTTGTAGGCTACAGTAGAGATTTTATATTGATGGGAGAAAAAACACAGTCAAGTTTTGAACAAAGAGTAGAGGAGTGACCAGATCTAACTTGGTCTCAACATGCTCCCTCTGGCTACTTCACAATTATGGGGAAAGAAGGAAAAGAAAACCTGAGAGATTATTGTAGTAAGTCCATATGAAGTAGTATGGAATCAATTCTCAAACTGCACTTTATTAAGATGGTAGCAATCAAATTAATGGGTATCTATGAAAGGCAGGGTAAACATGATATATTCATGAATTGGATATGGCCCTAAAGAAATAAAGAATGACTATTTGATTTGGGGCATATCTTAGGATTTCTATTACTGTGAAGAGACACCATGACCATGACAACTTACAAAGGAAAGTATTTAATTGGGGCTAGCTTACAGTTTCAAAGGTTTAGTCCATTATGGCCATGGCGGGAAGCTTGAGCATCTGAGACATCAGATCCCGCCCCCAGTGGCACACTTCTTCAACAAGGCCACACCTGCTCCAACAAGGCCACAAGTCCTAATAGTACATTCTCTGTGGGCCTATAGGGGACATTTTTATTTAAGCCACCACAGGGCATAAAATGGACCTACCACTTACTGAAATCAGGATCAGGATAACTAAAGGATGATAGATTGAAGAAAGAGAAAAAGGGAAATAAGTTAGGTTTTGGACAACATATAATTTGGGTCTGAATTCATGTGTGTATTTCTCTTAAGTACACATATAGAAACTTAATCCTCATGGTGGTTGTATAAAAGGTGGGAGCCTTTAAATGTAATGAGGTTTTGAAAGCAGAGAGCCCTCCTTAATGAAGTCTATGACATTATAAAAGAGCCCAAGGAAGCTTTCTTGTACTTCTAGCATCTGAGGATACAGAGGTGAAGAATAGGCCCATATTAGACACTAAATCCGTGGTACCTTGATCTTGGCTTCCTAAACTCTAGAACGGTGTTTAATGAATATCTGTTTAAAAACTACCCAGAATTGACAAAGGAAGACCAAAGTCAAGATACAGTAATTCAGAGGCTTTGCTTCCTGGTCTTCCTACACCCTCATGTGGTATAAGGATCAAGATGGTAGTTTGGGGCCACACAAGCTCTGCTCGTAAAAACAGAACCCTTATGACCTGGTTACTTCCTAAAGGCCTCATCTCCTAATAGCATCAAACTGGGAAGTAGATTTCAGTATTTAGACTTGGAAGGAACACAAGCATTCAAGCCATAGCAAGAATGATCATCTGTTCAAATGCTCAAGAAAATTAGCAACTAAAAACCACCACTGGATTGAATAACCTGAAAATTATTTGTGTAAACATGTGCCTAAAAATTCATGTGCATAAACATACTATTGATAAAGTAAAAATCCTTTTATGATAAGCTTATTTTGATTTTTTCCCAATATTTTATACAACCACAGTGTTCTACTCATGTTTCTCTATAGTGATATTGATGTTTCAGAGCCCCTTGCTCAGAACCAAAGCAAACCAGAGGAAATCACACTTAGAGAAGAATATAGCAATGATCTGCTTTTCCAAGCTGAGAGTTTTGGTGAGAATATTTGAGAAATCAAAATTATAAGACAACATCAATTATATTTGCAATTTGTATGAAAATAGTCACAATAGAGATATCTGTAGAATGGATGTTTTTATGTATAAATATAGTCTCCAATTTTTTTCTGGTCTAGATGCTAATACCCTCTATTATGGAATATTTCTTGATAATTTTTTAAATCCAAGCATATTTTGAATTTCTATATCAGGTGCTCT